AGAGAGAGAGAGAGAGAGAGAGAGAGAGAGAGAGAGGAGGGAGGGGGGAGAGGGTTGAGGGTTTGGGGGCTAGGGGGGACCTGGAGGAGAGGGAGGGAGGAGAGGGGAGGGATGGGGGTGTGGTGTGTGTGTAGGGGGTGGCGAGCCAGCCCCAGCTAATGGCTGAGGCCAGCTTTTCTAAGGTGCGCACTCTAGTTTGAAGGTGCACCCTCTTTTCTTTCCTTGTTGAGAGATACCTGGGCCAGCAGGTCAACTTAGGTTACCTCAACAGGTAGAAGACCCCAGTGGGTGAGCCTATGTAAGTCAGGGCTGAGCCTTTAACCGGGAAGATGAACTACCTGGAGGTTTCTGAAGTCTGGGGACTTTACCCAGACCCTTCAGGCGGCAGACCCTCCAGCCTCTGGCCTCTTCCTAGGGTCTGAAACTGCCCTGTCTTTTGAAGACTCTTCTTGTCCCTTGACTGCTACGGGTAGAGTGGGGGGGGGCATTCCAGGTACCCTAGCAAGACCACACTACCCTTGCAGAAAGCAGCTCCTTCAAGGAATAGGAAACCCAAGCAAGCTTGGCTGGGAGAATCTGGGAGCAAAGCTGTTTATGGGGAATAGAGAGGAATAGCTTGTGTGTCCAGGCTTCTGCCTAGCCTAACCCAAGACATTTCTGTTTAGGAGACTATAGCTGGGTTGAAGGGAGCAGGAGTAGGCCTTTTACTGGTTCTCATAAACCACCACCCCAAAGGAAATGCCAGCTCAACCTAGAGGGGCCCTCAGGCTTCCCTGCTCCCTCCTCTTCTCCAGGCAGGCTGCCCGGGGCCAGGATGTGGATGGGAACTGTCAACAGACACTCTTTAAATATTTACCCACGCTTTTGGGGAGGGGGGCACATATCCCTATGCCTAAGACTGGACAAATTCAAGTTAATTCTAATGGAAAAAATAACCTTGGTCCATCAACACCCTTCCCTGGCCATAGTGTCTACGGGTATGTGGGCTTAATACAGGGAGAAAAGAGAAGAAAGCATGAGAGCAATGTGTGTGCGTGTGTGCCATTGTGCTTGTGAATGAAGATGAATAAGAATGCTTTTTCCTGTCTTCTTCCTCAGTATGTGAGGCTGTTACTAGGCCACCCTGGAGCACAATCAGAACACACACACACACACACACACACACACACACACACACACAGTATATACTATACTATCCTGGTACCCAGAGACATATCAAGTGTATGTTCATTTTACACTAGCTATACACATTCCTAGACATGGCCTTCCTGACTCACAGACCCCGTACATACATGTGTTCTCCAGGCACATGCACAGAATGCTTGATAAATATATACATTTGTAAGTTTTGCATCAAGAAAAAAATCTTCCTCTTTTTGTTTTCCTCATCCTGGGTTGGGCAAGAAAAGACATGGTTAGAAAACTAGATCTTTTTCTTTCCAATCCCCATCTGGAACCAACTCTGGGCTCTGGGCATAGAGGAAAGAATAGCAGGGCAAGACAGGATAGAAAGAGCAGCTCTCCTCTGTCCTTTTATTATTTAAGTAATTATTGGGGAAATGATGACTCTCAGTCAGAATCTTAAAGGAGATTCACCGATACCCTGGCAAGAGACCCTATCTACTGGGATCTTTAGCATTTAGGAAACTCACCGCTATTGAACTTAGGAACTGCCCAAACTCCTAGACACAGAACTCTAGCTCTGAAGCAGCAGGAGGGAAAGGTCCAGAAGTGCTGTGTCAGGGCTGCAACTCTCACTAGGGTCCAGAGCAATGGGGGGCACCCCAGAGCATCTCCACCCACCAGAGCCTGCTGCATCTTTGGCTCCAGCCTTGTCGATCTGAGAGAGTCTGCTCAGTGTAGAGCTGAACAGAGTGGATTCTGGTTTCCTAGCATCTGACCATGGGGGCTGTCATAAATACTTTCTCTTCTCTGACTGGAAAGAGGAGGCTCAGAGGGTCCGGATCCTCTCTGGGGCCTGTGCCTTATCTTTTAAGGGGTGGGGGAATCTATTTCCAGATTTTATGATCCAGCAAAAAACCCTGCTACAGAGCTATTCTTCTGGGCCTTTGTGTCTTGGAATGCGGCTGTCCAGAGCATGCCATTACCACCGCCTGTCCGGGGAACCCATCAGCCCTGTAAGCCTTGGTCAGACTTGGTTTCCCCTTTGGAAGCTTCTCTCATCTTTCGTTTATTTATTTTTCTTTTACACGTATCTGGTTTATTTTGCTCTCTGAGCCTGGAAATAAAGGAGCCGCAAACAGCCGTCCTCGCCGGGCAGTTCTGTCTCTCTACCCGAGGCCTGCATCACCCTCTTAGGTACCACGGATTTATGTTCGTTTGTTCGGGTCATTCCGCCTTTTTGGGTTAATTACCTGCTCCTTACTTATCTCCACCAGCGATTATTTTTGATGCCTGCCCTCTTTCGCCTCCTGAACTCTCCGGTAGAGCGAGGGCCCATCTCCTGCTGCCACTCACGAATTATTTACACCTCGCAGGTGAGAGCGTTGATTTGTTCAGAGGCAGTGGGGCCGAAGCCGGCAGAAGCCAGGGGCTTTCTGGCCGAAGCTTCCAATCTGGCCTCAAATGTCACTAGGCCAGGCCGGTCTGGGGGCACCTCTGCCTCTAACATTGAGCAACAGCGCCACCTCGTGTCCACTTGCTCCAATGCAATCAGACTGAGGAAAAGCCAGCAGAGGTCCCAGGCCGAGCTGAAAGGTGGCAAGTTGAGAGGAAGAAGCCTCTAAAACGATGCAAAGGAGAGAGGTTCCTTGGCAGGTAGTTGCCTCTGTTCTTTGGTTTTCTAAATTCTTTAAGTTAACCTTGTGAAATGTTCCACATTGTCCTCTTTTTGTAACCCTCCTTTTTGTAATAAAGAGACATTGCAAAGGAATAGCTGCAATCTCTTCCATCCAGGCTTTTTCTAATCTAGAAACTCCTTTGCACACGAATATACTACCCCATCCGAAGCTCTCAGGACTTTCTGCTCCCAGCACTCTCTGTCCCTCTTACCCTGATGCACAGCCTATTCCACCGCTGCCTGTGAGACTTCAGGGTGGGACTCTTGACTGTTCCAGACTGCCCCCACCCCTGGTTTGTAGCCCAACCCTAACGCACGCTCTTCACCTCTCCCTCTCAGCTAGAGAGATCCTGATCTCTGTGGGCTATAGACAAAACATTCCTATAATCCTATTTCAAAGGAAAGAGTGTCCACCTTATTTAAACCATAAAACAATTAAGCCCAGACGTCTAGCCAGCTCCGCGCTGCTGTTTTGTTCGGCCCCATTCAGAACCCAGAGCAGGGAGACAAACAGGGCCATAAAAGTGGCATTTCTGGGCTACGGAAATGTACCTATCCGCTGCCTTCCCAAGTGGGACAACCTTTAGGGTTTTGTGATTCTGACAAAGGAGCAGAGGAGAGATGGGAGGGAAAATGAGGGGAAGAGGGCTTTTGCCAGCCCCTCTCCTGGTCTGCTTTCATTTCTCTCCCCAGATGTGTGTTGTGTTGTTTTAATTCACAAGTGGAAATGAATAAAATCGAATTTAATCCTGACCTGGAGGTGGAAACTCGGATTAAAGAGTGGGCCTCCTCTAAAACCCACCTTCTTCTGGGTCCTACAAGCTCTGAGGCACTCTTTCCAGTAGGCAGGCTTCAGGAAGCAGGCCACGCTGAGGAGGCTTCAGGGCCTTGGAGCAGGGGCGGGGTAGAAGCCCGGAAATAGCGCTGAGCTCAGGGAGGGAGAGAAGCCCACATCCTGGCTCTTGATGGTCCAAACTAAGGGAGAGAAGGGTGTTTTGGCTTCCATCAAGTGCCCAACTTAGGCCAGGGTTAGAGAACAGCAGAAAGGCCAAAGGGAAGAGTAAGATAGTAAGCAAAATATAGGCGAAGTATCTTTCCAAAAGACCTGGGAATCGGTGCTCAGGAGTGGAAGTGAAGTCTACTAAGCAGGAAAAAGTGTATGCATTAGAGGCCACCAAGTTTGTTGTTGCCACTTAATTGCCTGTCCCCCAATATTAAAAAAGAAAACCCAATGCTTCTCACCTCCCTCCAATCCTCCAAATTGGAACAATAGGGTAGGCGACTCAAATAAAGGGGCGGAGGCTGTCCCTCCAAGTGTCCACCAATCCTACCAGGGGATGCTTTGGAGGGGGCAACAAATGGGACCCCCAATTATATTATTTTAGATGGTTCCTCCTGGTAGTGACTCTAGCAGAGTGGACAGCCTGAGATATTAAAGGGCTATATTTCAAACAGTCTAATTTTAATAGTTTCCAGATTGGGGGATTTCCGAGAAAAGGGGCGCTGGGCTGAGGCAGAACCAGCAGCTCTGTCTGCTTCTGATTAGCCCCATGATAACGGCTAGCTCCAGAGAGAGAAGGTTCTAGAGAAGGGTGCAGTGCAGCCACCCAGCCCCACTAGGCTGTTATGTACATATTACCACACCTCTGTGCTTGGGGTCCAACAGCCACCAGAGAGCATCCCATTCCTGGCTAATCCCTAACCAGCTCCCTTGGAGTCTGGCTTCACCACTCCCTAGGAGTATTACTTAGCATGACCCTAGTCACCCTTATCAACATTCAAACTAAACATGGGGGTGGGGAGAAGTAGAGAGAGAAGAGCTGAGAATGAATTCATTGAGAAGAGATTATTATATTGACTTTGTTATCCTATT